AAAATGACAGAGAAATGTTGTGTGGGGAAATTTTTAAATGAAGAGTGCGACAATATGTATTATTGTAGAATGATTGGAAGAATAAAACTAAAAGATATTGCGAACACAGAGTTGAAGTTTTAATTCAAAGAATTGGACACACTTTTAAACTAAATCAGGAGATATGTTTTTACCATGAAAAAGCCTATATTTCTAGATATGAAGCGCTTCAAAAATACTGCTGTGAAAAAAATTATAAAGGGATTGTGTAAAGTCGATATTTTAACAATAAGTTAATTTAAGATCAAACCTGGTCAAAAACTTTGTACAAACTGATTGAATGAATTCAAACTTGAACAAATTTCAGGAAAATTTAGTCAAGAAAATAAAGACAAAGATGTTGATGATGATGAGTTTAATTTTTCAGACCTAAATAAGACAGTTTTAAATAAGAGTGCTTTTTTACTGGAAATATCTCCTCTAAAAAATGTAAGTAAACGTGACAAATTAGAGTATGGAAAGCAAAAAGTTAAAAAACTGGAAACAAGTATGACAAACCTAGTAGCATCAGCATTGGATATAGACCCAAAAGAAATAATATCTGAGAAAAAGCAAAAGTACATTAACTGTAATGATTTAGACAAACTTATAGATGCATTAAAGGAAAAAGGAAAAATCAGTTTGAATGAAAAAGTTCCGTTACTAACATTAAGAAAAAGTTCCGTTACTAAAATTAACTCCTGATAGTTGGTCAATTAAAAAAACTTGTAATGTATTTTCAGTTTCAGACCATCTTGTTAAGAAAGCTAGAAAGCTGAAAAATGAAAAGGAAATACTTGCTAAACCTGAGGCTAAAAAAGAACATCCATTGGAGGATATTGTATTGCAGATAGTCATTGCAATATATGAATCTGACGAATACACTAGACAATGTCCAGGACTTTGTTTCTGTGCGTATAAATAATGTTAAAGTTCATAAACAAAAACACTTAATATTAGTTCGTTTAAAAGAACTTCATTTGGAATTTAAGAAATTATACCCACAAAGTTGGATCCAGCAAGTTCTGTGAACTAAGGCCAAAGTGGTGCCATACTGTTGATAGCAGTGGAAGCCACTAAGTTTGTGTATGTTCTTACTATCAAATTGCTAAATTGATGTGCTTTGCTCTTCTTAACAGCCATTTAATATATTACAAAGATTTAATGAAAGTATGCGTTTGTAACATAGATAGTCAAAACTGGATGTTTCATCTATGTTCCAACTGCCCTGGTAAAATAAATTTGAAGACTTACTTGAAAAATGTGTTTGAAAAAAAGAATGATTTTGATGATCAGATCACATATAAACAATGGATATCAACTGACCGAACTGCACTTATTACAGTCCAAACAAGCATTAGTGAATTTATTGAAACTTCAAGTGAAACTTTGTATGAACTTTGTCACCACTACTTTATCAAAGAAGCACAGTCTTCCTTCTTATCAGAGACAAAACAAACATTAGACCAATATACCTGCATTATTCTGCAGTTACAAATCAGATTCTCACACCAAAAGTATACATGGGTTGAAAAAGACATCAAAGGTGTTAACATATTTAATCTTTCAAATAATGATATCAGTAACCATGAAACAACTCTTAACCTTCAGAAATGATATAAAGGGATGCGTACAGTTCCAGGAATAAAAATTATATTTGAGGTATAAATTTTGCATGTGGTAAGTGGTATTTTTTTGTTTTCCTTTTAAAAATATCATCACTCTCAAAAGACTACAATCATGCCATAAGATAGAGTATAGGCCTTTACATTTTTTTTGGTCATTTTCTATATATAGAACCTCAACATTAAAAAGTTTCATCATTTATTTCAACTGTTTACGGTATTTTCTATACAAGCAAAGTCAATGTAATTTATCATAATTTTTAAAAAAAGTGATTTTTAAATATGCTGCTGCATGTGCTAAATTAAATTTTAATACTTAGCTTTTATTATTCTAACAAGTGGTGACCCAAAGGTAACAAAAAAATTCACTTTCTATAAGTAAGTAATAAACTGTAACACGTTAAAGTTCAAAAAAATATTTATAATTTTGCAATACTTAGCAACTTTAAGGTATAATAAATCAAAAACTGTAAAAAATCAGTCAAAAACAACTGTAACAATGAATTATTTGGGTAAAAAACTATTACACTACAAAATTTCAGCTGATCACTATTTTTATTTAAAAATTTATAGTTTGTCAAAAATCGAAAAAAAACTGCTGTAAACTCCTGATACACAAATTTTTTGGATTTTGGTCATTTTTAGTTCAATCATAACTTTTGAACAAATTGGTCAATCAAGCTGAAAATTTCTTGATTGTATTTTTTTCATAAGATCTGTGTGTGGTCAAATTTTAAAGCAAAGCTGAGATGGTACCCTTGAGAACTTTCAAAAAACTTGGTGATTTGATATGGAATAACCCGTTTATATTAATTACATAACCAGTTTTTTACACATAACTTTATAAATTGTTTCCTAGCATCCCCACATATTCTAAGTTGAACCTTTTAAAAAATAAATAGTCGATATTTTTAATAAAGAAAACGTTCGTTTGTTCAAAATTATGTTTTATTTATTTTTACAAGATATGTATTTATTAATGACAACACAATAATAAGTAATATAGAATAAAACAAAGCTCTTATATATATAACAGGACAACATAAAAGTTTTTTTTCTTGCACTGTGTTGGTGGTAACTTTTGAAATCTTTACTACAATCCTCTTGAGCTTCTTCCGACATAAGATCAATAGGCAACATCATTCATCTGTTTACGGGTTCATCATACTCTGTTGTTGCCTCTATAGTCCTGCTGTACAACCTACCCAACATCTACCATACACTTCATACATTAATTTTGCAACACACCAAAACAACAGCAGCAAATAGTATTTAAATAGTTGTAGAACTATCCATAAGTTTACTAATTTTGCTAAATTTTGTTCCTAAAGAGAAGTAATCAAAATCTACAATCTGTATACCAGTAGGATTGCCTCATGATGTGATAATACTTTTTAAAGTTAAAAAAGTATCTTCAGTCATTATTCCTAAATCAGTTTTCACAAGTTTAACAGCAATTCGACTTCATTCAATACAACGTTTTTTTAAACCTTGTAAAAAGTTCATCAAATCAGATACAATCTGATAGCACAGAACAGATTACTTAACGTGTCAAAGATGATTAATAGTTTACAAAAAAGAGTGGTCTATAAATAGCAAACAAACAAATAAAAGAGTGGTCTATAAATAGCAAACAAAAAAAAAAATCAAATCAAAGTAAATAAAATTTTTTGAATATTTCACATTAAAACTACATCTCAACTCCTGGTTGTTTTTATTTTTTTAAATATTTTATTTATTTATTTATTATGTTATTATCTTTTAATTGTATTATTATTAAATCATTTTATTATTTTATTGCTATACTTTATTGCTATAGAATTCTTTATTGTTATTATTAACATGATTATTATTGCTATTATTATTATTATTATTATTATTATTATTATTATTATTATTATTGTTATTATTATTATTATTATTGAAATGTTAAAATCCCCACAAAATTTATTTAGTTTTAGAGCTGGAGTGCACTCTAATATGCAAGTAGCTGCAACTTAAACTAGTTTTGACTAGAACTTTCTAGTGTCTTCTGCAACCTTTTTGTAACTCTCTGCAATCTTAAACCTTTTGCAACCTTTATATACAATGATCCTATCCACTTTTTACAAAACGTTAAAATTTGCTTACTTTGTATATTTGTTTATTTCTGTTCAATAAGCATTAAGAAAAATAAGGTGATAAATTATAATGGCACCAAAAAGGGTTATATGTGATATAATTTGCTACCTTAAGGGGTAAAAGGGTTTAAGGTTCTATTTAAACGGTATAGTTTTTAGCCCTAAGGGTTAGGATATGCAATATACCCTAAAGTTAGGATATTTGATGTACTCTTAAGGTTATTTTTGCTATTTTTGTCTGTGATATTAATAAGGAGATTTAGTAAGAAGATGATGAAACTTGACTGTAGCTTATGATGTAGTACGTTATAAATACTATTGTACTTTATTTTCAAAGATACAAAAAGAAGTTTTCTTTTAGTCTACAAAAAATTAAAAGTAACCAAATAACTCAGATTATCATATTATAAGCATTAGTCTATAATGACTTTGAGTATTTCATTACTTAAAAAATATCTTTAAAAAGATCAGCTATTAAATATACTTAAAAAAAAACTGAAAAAAAAAGAAGTAATATACATTAGGGTAAAATTTGAGCACCTAAATGTCTATTTATTTGTACTTTTCTATCATTGTTTGTTTACATGAAATATTATTGCCAACACTTAAGGAAAACTGAAGGAAAACTCTTGCTAACACAAAAAAAAAAACTACAGATTTGTTGTTATTTTTTTTGGAAACATTTTTGGACTTCCAAAAAAAAAACCAGGAGCAGCCAACTTATAAACAAAACAGTGCTTTATTCTTTTGCCTAAATAAAATATATATATATATATATATATAATATATATATATATATATATATATATATATATATATATATATATACATATATATATATATATATATATATATATATATATATATATTATATATATGCATATATATATATAATATATATATATATATATATATATATGTATATATATATATAAATATATATATATATATATATATATATATATATATATATATATATATATATATATATATATATATATATATATATATATATATATATATATATATACTATATATATATATATATTATATATATATATATATATATATATATATATTAATTATTACATAACAACTTATGAGTTATTATTTTTAGCATCATAATTTTTACATGAGAATTTGTAACTGCATTTGTAAATTTGTTTCCTCAATTATTATTAAAGGGCATATTAAAAAAAATTCCAATAATTTTTTTTTAAATCTTTTGTTTTTATAGTGTATGATGGCATGTAACCTTGAGCTTCCATTCAATCTTTCTAACTGTCTGTGGAATTGTAATGTAAATTTATATATATATATATATATATATATATATATATATATATATATATATATATATTATATATATATATATATATATATATATATATATATATATATATATATATATATATATATATATATATATATATATATTTATATATATATACATATATATATATATGTATATATATATATATATATATATATATATATATATATATATATATATATATATATATATATATATATATATATATATATATATATATATATATATATATATACATTTGTTAAATTTTTGTATTTAACAAAAATAACTACTAATACCATGGTTCTAATAAGATGTTATTCAAATTTTAATTAAGAATTCTAATTCATGTAAACTTGGATGTCTCTTCTACAGCCATACTACAGATAAAGGTTTCATAATTTTTTCAATTCTTTTTTAAATTTTTTACTTGGTAAAATACATTATAAAAATAACCAGTGTTATTGAGCTTCATTTTATTTAATATAATTCTCTTTGTTTTTATATTTATCTAGTTTAAAAATTGTTAGAAATTTCAAGTTTCAAATTTTATTGAATTATTTTTCTTAAGATAAAATATTATAAATTGGCCCAAATAAATTTATTTTTAGAAAATGTTCAATTTAATGAACAGAGCAAGCCTGGTATGAATTTTACTTTTAATTTGACTTCAATAAAAAAGGAATGTTTAAACACAAGTTTTTTGTTAAAAAGAGATTTTGTACTGAGTATATATCTGATTACTTTCATTATAAAAAATGGCATCAATTCTACAGAGATTGTACTAGGTTTAGTAAGTTTTTATCACTTTAATTTATTGATAGAGTGTAGGGTGATGTGACATCAAATGACAATCATTTTTTATCTTGAATTTATTAGCAGAGTCAAAATGTTTTTAACTCACAGAAGCAAAATCTTTGTGACAATCTTAACAACATATCTAATCATGATATTGGAACTGAATTTCAATTAAATATCTATATAGTTAACTATAATGGATACAACAAATCAATTAATCAATTTTCAAACTTTGCAGGTATATTTAAAAAAATTAATTTAAAAACATTATTGAGAGATTTTTATTAACCGATAAAAGATCAAGAATAAAATAACTTCAGAATTATAATAGAATCAATATTATTTTATTTTTGCCATAAACTCTTGATTGTATATTTGGTGAGATATGTTTTTTGGTTTTTAGATATTTGGCTTGTTCCTACTAACTTTATAAGAAAGAAAATATGTTGTTTTGAGTTTCATAAAAAAAATTTAATAACAAATTTTCATTGTTTGGTTAAATTGTAGCCTTTCGGTTTTTTTTTTTTTTTTAATGTGGTATATCAGCGAGTATTTTAAGAATTATTGAATTTTTTCTAATCACATTATAAAAAATTTCCTTGATGGACTACATTCTCCTTCATTTCCAGCAACTTCTTGGGTAGTGGTTTGTGTAACATGTTGTTCCTTGTATATAATAATGATCTTCTTAATAATCATGCCTTTAAATTGGCAGATGAGACAGTTTATTTTGTTTTGATTCTTTACAAAGTTTTGATTTTTTACAAAAAGTCATCACTTTTTTTCTTTATTCAGCTTGGGGATTACAGTGGCTGGTGAACTTTAACTCTCTGAATTAAACTGAGTCTTCTAATTACATCTTATTGAGTTATACTTTTCTACAATCTTTCATGAAAGATATATATAACCCATTGCAAAATTAACATCTACTAAGTTTGTTTCTTTTTTATTGCGCTTGCCAATTTCTTATTCTTGAATCTATGATATGCTTATATCAATTTCTTATTTGTCCTTATATAAAACACTCTCATCATATTTGGCTTTTTCTGTAAGCTTTTAAAGCCCTCTTTCTTTTAGGTCTAAAATGTTTTTGGGTATGCTATAGCTACCAATCTTAATACTCTATCCCATTGTTGTGAAATTTCTTTTTTTTTTTCTAAATGTACTACCATGGTTGCTGCTCATGCAAGTTATCATTACTTGTTCTATCAGCCAAAATTACTTGTTCCATCATGCTATAAAATGATTGACAATTAGAGCTTGTAATGTTAATATTTATGCAGGAAAGATATTTATTACAGCTAAAAAAAAATCAGTTTTTATATTCTTATGCTTCATGTTATAAAATTTTGCCTTTATTATAATTATTATTTTTATAATAAATTTATTTTTGATTAAAACTACTACTTTCATAATCAATTTTGTCTTCATTGTAATTATTATCTGTATAATAAATTTAGTATTCATTATACTTACAAATGAACAAAATTATTTCTGTTTATCAATGCGGCTTTTTAGAGCGTAGATCCTCCACCAATAATATATAAACAACCATATAGATCCTAGGAACTTGTAAACAGATGCTGACAACTTAAACTTTTTTCTAAGTTTTTTACATTTGCTGCTACACATTACTCTACAAGTTGTCATGCCTAAAAACTTATTTCAAGTAACATAGATATGTTACTTGAAATAAGTTATCTTTAATAATAATTATATATAGTAATAATTATATATAGTAATAATTTACTAACCGTTATCTGTGTGAAGTAGGAGGTACAAATGTAAAACAAAGGTTTTATTATAAAACATAGAAACAAGGTCAGCATTTTTTTGCCGACCTCAAACACTATATATATATTAAGTTGGGGTTCGTCATAATGGAGGAATAAAGGGGGAATAGAAACTAACTCAATATATAATCTAAATATATATATTAATAATATGAAGCGTGCTTTTATATAACTCTACTTAATTACTTAATGGTCCGCAAGTAAATAACAAATACAACGACCGCGTAGATGACATCACTGTAACACCCCCACATGATGTCAAAATCTAAATTTACGAAAAAAGTCAAGTTTTAAATATAACGTCTCTAAATACTTTCATAGAGTCTCTTTTAAATGGTTTCGTAAAAATATCTGTTAAGTTTCCGTTTGAAGGTACATATTACAAGATTATCGTTCCATTATGAATATACTCTCTTATAAAATGGTATCGTATATCAATGTGTTTTGAACGTGAATACTTTTGATTTGCACTGGTTCAAAGATATCTACAAATAAATCCTTCAGAAATTAGGTAAGGTATGTTACCTCTTGACATGTGGCAGACATTGCCATATACTCAGCTTTGCATGTTGACAGAGAAACAAAAGCTTGTTTCTTGGATTTCCATGCTATGATTGGTCCATTCTGGTAAAGACTAAGACAATAACCAGTAATGTTTCTTCTATCATCGCAGGATGCTCCCCAATCTGCATCACAAAATGCATTCAAACTAATACTTTGTTGCGTTTTTCTAAAAATTAAGGAATAGTCCAGAGTACCTTTTATATATTGAAAAACATGTTTAAGCATTGTCCAATCTCTGTTATTTGGTTTCGACTAATTTTGTGATAATTTTGTGACAACAAAACTAAGGCCAGGGCGAGTACATATCTTTGCATAAACTAAACTTCCTACCATTTGACGATAAAGTTTGTCTGAATTTATTTTGTTTTGCAGCTCTTCATCGTATGATTTAGGTTCGTTTCACATGGTGTTATTCTAGGTTTACAATTTCCCATTCCATATCTTTGTAATACATTAGTGAGGTAAACCTTTTGGTTCATATTTATTTTGTCAACACTTTGAACATAAGTTATTCCAAGAAAACTTGATATTTTACCTAAATCTTTCATTTTAAATTTTTGGTTATTTTGGTCTTTCTTTAAAATAGTTCATGGCTTTAGTGGAACTGGTGGCTATAATAATATCATCCAAATTAAAACAATAACTTTTGAATAATTTTCATTGTATATAAAAACACATGGGTCGGAATCAGATTGAGTAAAACTCATTTCAATAAGACAATCTTTTAATAACTTATTCCAGTTTCTCCCACTTTTTTTAAGACCATAGAGTGACTTATTCAACTTCCAAATTAATTCACTATTAGCTTGTTCATAGCCAGGTGGTTGCAATACATAAATTTCACATTCTATTGGAGCATGTAAATATGCACTTTTTGCATCCATTTGGTGTACAATTAGATTTTTATGTACAGATATATTCATAATTATCCTGAACGATTCAATTCTAACTGTGGGTGAAAATGTTTCAGAGTAATCAACTCCTTCAAATTGAGTAAAACCTTTTGCTACATATCAAGCTTTATATATTGGATTATCAGGCCCACCTTTCATTGAGTAAAGGCATCTCCCTTCTATAAAGTTTTTACATTTTGGTAAGGTAGTAAGAGTGTACGTATGGTTTTCATTTAATGATTTTATTTCTTCATCCATTGCTTTCCTCCACTTACAGGCTTCTTTGCTTTGAATGGCATCACTGTAAGAAGTGGGTACTTTTACACAATAGCAGTAGTCAATATATTTAATGCAATCATTGCTTTTAGAATAGTCAATAATAGAATCATTTAAATATTTTGGTGGTCTTCTAGTTCTTTCTGGGTTCCTACAGTTTTTAGTAGATTGTAGCTGTAGGTTGATGCTGAGATTTTTGGTATGAGTTTTCGATTTAATCTTCATCTATATCATTTGAAGTTATAAGTCAAAAATTTTCAGTAAACTTTACTAATCTATGCTTTAGAACAGAATTTGTTTGTTTTTCTAAAGTACAAGTTTTACAAAAATTACTATTACTATTGGTAATCTTCATACCTTCAACAACTTTTTCTAATTTCTTCAAATCAGCGAAATTAAAATGTCCTATGCCATGTATCAATGGTTTCTTTTCGAACTTTACTCGTTGAAATTTTGAGTAAATAATATAATCTACTTTTCTGGTATATTGGGAATATTGTCCCATTTTTAGCAATCAATTCTCCATTATTACCTTTGAAGTTGACAATTGCACCTTTTTGTGAAGCAGCTTGAACAGAAAATATACAATTAGGGGAACTTGGTATAAATACGGCATTTTCTAGTTTAACTTGAACTACATTTCCATCCTCAGTAGTTAATTCTACTGAAATTGTTCCTCGTTTTTGGACCACATTGTTAGTTTTTGTACCATCAACCAACTCAATATAATGTTCATCTGGTTTAAAATGTTCATCCAGGTAAATAAAATATTTTTCACTATTAACTATATGAGTTGTTGCTCCGCAATCAACAAGGAATGATTCATTTTCAGATAAAAGTTACATATTTCCTTCATCAACTTTAAATACATAATTTTGATCTGTTACTTTTTTAGCTTTAACTTTTTCCTGTTGCTGATTACAATAAGATTTGTCATTATGAGTGCTTGATTTACACAATTTATACCATTTTCTTTCTTTGTTTTTATAACAATCTATAGATTTGCCATCTGAAGTGCCACATCTATAACATTTTGCAACATTTTTATTTTTAAATTTCACAGTATTTTTCATAATACTGCTTATAATTGGTTCAACCTGATTACTTCTTGAATTTTCAGTTTCTTTAAAGTTTCTAAGTACCTGTTTAAATTTTTGGAAACACTTAACAGTTTCTGATTGTGTTACAACCGCAATAAAAGATTTATATTCATTTGGTAATCCCTATAAGACCATTGCTACTAAGATATATATATATATA